GGAATCTGCAAGTAGTGCTGTATATGTTCTTCCTTCCTCGACTTAATCTAGCTCACACTTACTCAGTGTGGACAGCAACATGTAGAATAGTTCCCTTCGGTAATCTCCTCGGTGAGGAGTGTGTTGGATAGTCAAGATTGGGCTGCAACCACCTTCTTGCAACTATTTCACAGGCAAGGGAGTCCTAAATCTCTCTCTCTCCCAGCATCTTCCGAAGGTTGGAAGATCCTTCCATCTAAATAGTACATCAATGTTGCCAGTATTCCAGGATAAAGTTTTTATTTCAGCTCATGCCAGCAATGTGGCTGCTATGCTGGGGAAGAGCATGGAGGTTATTCAGGTCGATCTGTTCATCTTTCTGGTGGTTTTGGTAAGTGGCACTCTGTGTGCACTAGGTCACATGTATTGTGCTGGTCAAGCATATGGAGCCACAGATCAATCTTTGGGTTCGCTCTTCCGTAGACTGTCATCCCTACGGATAGCATTCAGTGATGTACCTCCAGAGTTATTCTGGAAGGCAGTAACCTGCCATATGTTCCTGTTCCATTACAGGGTCTATCCAGGCGGAAGATCCATGGGGAAGTTGGTTCTGCATGTGGTACAAATAATTTATTATCTCAGAATTACCCTCCCTGTTTGTGTGATCGCTATATCCCATTGTATGCTGCCATGTATGGTGTCAGGAAAACGGAAAATTGTATACTTACCTATCGGTAATTTTCCTTTGCTGATGCCAGTACATGGCAGCATACAGGACCCTCCCATGGCTTTCGCATTGAGTACTTGTTACGAGAATGGTGGCCTTGGGAGGCGGGCTTTAATTTATAGTATAACTGGTCCTGTGATTGGGCTGGGGGCGGAGCCATACCCATTGTATGCTGCCATGTACTGGCATCAGGAAAGGAAAATTACCGATAGGTAAGTATACAATTTTCCGTTTTATATACTGTATAAACAAAAGTAGTGATTTTGTTCTCTTCAAAGTAAACTTCTTGGCACTTGGATTTTAAACTTGACAGCTGAAACCACCATTTTTGTTTCAGGTTATAAATGACACTAAAATTGTGTATCAACAGAATAGAAACTGTTTGTGTTTTTAGGAGGCAACACAAGTTATTCAAATATGGGAAAGGATACCTTGCAGAAAATGGGACAGTAACAGAAAATATCTGTATTACAAAATAGTTTGCTGCATTATTCAGAATGCTTAGCACTTCAGTAATTTAAATGGATAGGCTTAGGAAAGCTTTGTGGTGACATTTCCAACGGTGTGCCACATGCTTTCTAAAGTTGCAGCATCATACTTGCCAATGCAGTTAGCAGATCACATGCACTTTCTTTATATTCAAATATCTATAGAGCAATGAAGAAAAAATGTTTATATGTACTTTATTCAAACGGCCATGCTACGATTACTTAAAGAAGAACTACAGGACAAAAAAAATGTATTAACCCTTGCAGCTGCCCCCACACTGCAAGGGTTAATTGCTCGTTTGTGTCTACGTGCTAAAAAAAAAAGTTACAATCACCAGACCATCCAAGCCAACTTGTTCTTAAACCCCATTCACACTGAGCGACATGCATATTATGCGTTTTTCCGTGCGATTTTTGCGCTGAGCGGCATTGCACATTTTATTGCGCTGCGTAGCGCGTTTTTTGGACGGGACTTCGTCGCTGCTACATTGGGCTGTAACCAATCAACAGCGATCTTGACGTGACATCATTCTTTCCTTCCATTTTGCAGTGCAAAAGTGACCCTTCTGTAGCGCGATATCGCACGACGGAGTCGCGCAATATCGCCGGTAATGCGCTATTTCACGCAACACCATAGAGTCTACTGGAGCCAAATCGCACGACATCCGCGCAAAAAAGGGTCATGTATGAGCGACAAGCTACAGCTGACATTGAGCTGTGAGATGTGAACTGCTCCATTGAAATGCATTGGACAAGCTACATAGAGCGATATATCGGAAATATGCACGATATCGCTGCAAAGATCGCGCGATAAACCTCTCCGTGTGAACGGGGCCTTAGACTGGTGTCTCAAGCATCTCTTCCCCCTCTGCTGCAGCGGTCTAAGGATCCTCCTGTCATCACGCTCTATACACTGTGCATAGACTGCATAGACATGAGGATGCAGAGGAGACACACTTCAGTGATCACAGAAGCCGGCTCGCATGGTGCGAGTATACCTTTTTTTCCCCCACCTAGACAAAAATGAGCTACCAATTATATTTTGCATGTTAATTCTGAATGCTTCCCAGGGGGGCGTGGCTGGGTGCGTCCTTTGTCTACATACTTTGTACGAGAAGGTATCCCTCTTTCCTTCTTGTCCCTCCCTTCTTTCTACAAGTTGGGAGGTATGTATAGTATATACCCTGAAAATATTCGTTTCCATTTTCACATTTGCCTATTGAAATTTTCAAGGCAGAACACTGTACATTACTATAACTGAACACTGATGGTCAAGTGTAAAACAAAAGCTACTGTACAGCTAATTCCCACATCAGGGCCAACATGTAAAAAATGCATTGGAAATGTGAATTTTGATGATAGTAAAACACTGGGGCCAAAACGGGACCAACAAAATGTAAGTTGTAGGAAAGATGAAATCGGGAAGGGGATACAAATTCCAAATCCCTCGAGTATGTAATGTTTATTGTAAAACATTTGTTTAGGCTTTATAGTGCTTAGCTAGTCTTCTTCCTGTCCTCCGTAATATGACATTTTGTAGACTCAACATTCCATAATATTTAGTTCACAAAGATTTTAGGCACAGCTGAAACTAGGCCCAGTAAGTTTGTTCAGACTCCATAAGTCCTATATCCTTTTATGATTCATGTCATCCAGGGTTCTCTGCAGCACCCTATAATCATGAGACAAATTCATGTCTTGGAGATGGGAACTTGCAAGCAAGCACATCCTAATGTATGCATCCACTGCATTAAATATTAAACAAGAATATAAACCTACACATCGCTGCAAAAAGAAATCTGGCCACTCTGCAGAAAGATCATCTTAAGTTGGTGCTGGATACTTTTTTTTTAACGCTGGCATTAAGCTCTGCGTGAGAGATGCCAAGAGTTGTAAAAGTAACAAAATCAACACTTGTAAAAGGCTGTGCTGTTTTGCCAGCCGGGATACTGCATATTTTTTGAATTTCATATTATTTTATGTTACTCACTTTCCTGGAAATGCAGAGCTGTCATTATAAAAGTAGTAAGATTCAAATGCAGCCAAAGTTTACTTTTACATCCTGCCCTGTGTCTGGCTATACACATTTTTTCCAAGTGTAAATGTCTTTCCTCCACCTTTTTGTTAATGCTATATTTTGTAAACTGAAGAATAGGTGGCCATATATGACCTGCTGTTTGCAAGCTATATGCCCGATTCAAGTATTTATCAGGTATAGCTTGGGTTATCGGCGGCTTAGTGAGCAATAAGGAAAGTCTCCAGACATTGTAAGCTTTCATTATTGTGCATTAAGTAATAATATAGTACAACATTTTTCTACTAGATCCTCTAGGTAGTAGTAAAGAGAGTACAGCCTCCCCCTTAGAAACATAAAACAAATACTTAAAACAGGTGTAGCCAAACTCCGGCCCTCCAGCTGTGGTGAAACTACAAATCCCATGATGCATCTCTCTTCAGGAGTCATGCTCGTGGCTGTTAGAATCTTGCAATGCCTCATGGGATTTGTAGTTCCACCACAGCTGGAGGGCCGGAGTTTGGCTACCCCTGACTTAAAACAATTATCAACTACTTGCCTTCTGAAACCCACATAATTGACTTGAGGTGTTGGTGTGTGTACAACCCATTGTAAATGACTGATATGTGGCCTTTTCACAAAACTACCCTGAATCTGTGTTAATTCACTCGGCTAAATTTGCTATTCCATTGGGTCTCCTGAAGGTATATCTGGTACCGAGTTGTTGCGTCAAATTTTTTTGTTTCTTTTGGACTTGCTTGGTATAAGTTTCATAATATTAAGGACCTCAAATACACCCCAATTCCAGCACCTTCCGAGTTTAGTTCACTCCAAATTTGTGCCCCTTTCGACATTGGATCAGTTGCAATTCCTGCACCTTCAATCTTTAGAACAGCCCCAATTTCGGAAACTTCAGACTTCAGATCAATCCTAATTCCTTCACCTCAGATCAGCCTCAATTCTTACAGCTTCGCACCTCAGATCAGCTCCAATTCATGTGAAACGCAGACATTCTACATACATACCTGCATGGCAGTTCCTCTTAGAGGAGAAAGAGGATATGGCTTCTTTGCATTGTACCTACACCAACATCCACAGCCACCATCGGGCCTACGTTAAGGGAAGGAGGGTTGGCACCTAAATATCGTGAAGTCAGGAAGCTGGATGGGCCGCACACATAGAAAGGTATGCCTGGCTTTGTAATTGACAGCCTGGGAACCTGTTAATTACAGCTTATGGCAGCAGTGCTTCTGGGTGCCACTGAAAAATACATTGGAGGGAATTTATCACAATTGGAGCAAATAGAATCTGGAGCAGTTGCCCATAGCAACTAATCAGCTTCTCTCAGTTTGTTCAGTTAAGCTATGAAAATAAAAGATTGGAGCTGATTGGTTGCCACGAGTAACTGCTCCAGATTTTGTCTATGCTCCAGTTTTGATAAATTCTCCTCATTCTATGTCCGCGCTGGCCCCTGGTCTATCGTCTTCCGTTAGGGAGACCCTATCTGGTAGACTTGTAGTAAAATAATTCACAGTCCCTGTGTATCACTACTAAGCAAGAGGTGAAACTATATATTGAAAAAACATGGTAACCCCCAAATGCACATTTTTGTACAATGTTCACACTCTGATGAGGTTATGTACATTAAGCTGAACTTTGTTAAAAAGACTTTATTTCCCTTTTGAAAAATATAACCTTCCATCTTTACACAGTCTGTGTCACCTCACCTTGTTTATTTCTTTGCTTTTGTGTCCTTTGTCTGTGTACAATGTATGTACATTTTTTATTTCAGGTGCAAAACGCCAAGAAACTCTCCAATGTACAGATTTTGCGGTTGACTGACGACATCTCTGCTTTGCAAACAGTATGTAGTTCTCTATTCAGTGTGTCATTTTTTTTTTCTTTACTTTTTCACTCCATATAATTTTTTTTTTTACAAAGTCTTTTATTCATTTTCAACAATAAATAAACAAACATACAGTTAATACATATACTTTATACAAACGTTTTAGTGTCCTCATACCATCAACAATACTTCACTCTTTTCTTCTCTAACTAAGCATACATATGCAATATCCCACAGAGATACAAAGGAGAGAAAGATAAAAGTATAAAATATGGCAAACAACCCCTATGCATTATGAGAGATATTGTTTTCAGAGATGCCCTACTGAGGAGGCTACCCCCGACAGTGTCCTGTAGGGATTATTCTTACGTATTTGAAAATACAGTTGTCTATCGAGTTTCACAAATATGCCCAAACATCGATCAAACTAGTGACCCATTTCCTTTTGACCTTCACCATAATTTTAACAATCTAGACTATTATTCGAGTTCCTAATGCCAAAAATTGGCTTTGTTGGCAAAATGCATTTAAGTTATGTGTCTTTATTAAAACTGTAATATACCTTAGTGAAGTTCATTCCCCGAATTAACACATTAATACGTGAACCTTGTCATAGGTTGTCCTATTATCGTGCCAAAAAGATCCCTTCCTTGTGACTGTGTTCCATTAACCCTATGTAGTGAACACAGGAATTATTTTTAAATATATATAATGAATAAATTCATAGTATAAAGTGCACCTTCTTTTTACCTATTTTGCATATACTAACCCTCTCCCTATTTTAAATAGTGTCTTTCCTTAACCTTAGTAACTTTTAATATTTGGTGTTTCAAAATTAATTGATTCAAGATCCTTTTCATAGGCTTTCTCATTACTGAATCTGCACACCTCATTCCTTGTGATAGTGCCCCACATGCCTAGTGCTATTGACCATGAGGCTAGATCTATTTCTAAAGAAGTTTCCTTGTATATAGCCCCAATTCTTCAAG